CCAAAAGTGTGTGAATAGATTGGCAATTACCATGTTATTAACTGATAGGAACTTTAATACAACCTTTTTTGATCCTGCAGGAGGAGGAGATCCAATATTATACCAGCATCTCTTTCGGTTCTTCGGTCATGGGCGCGATTGCGCCAATAGAAAAGGTGGTACGCTGCCCTTACAGCGCTACCTAAGCGAGCACAGCTGTTCTGTGCCTCAAATCAACTATCTGCCTGGAATGCAGATAATTGGCAATGAGGTGGGATGTTTGGGAGTCGATGTCATGAGAAAGGTAGGGGATGGTGCCAGAAAAAGAAAAAAAGGCCCTTTTTCGCTTGTTTCAATTCCAAACTCTTTTAGGTTAGACCCCGGTAATAGTAGGGATCTTTTGGGATTGGAGTGTGCCCTCCTCTCTCTCGAGGGTAAGATTCCACACGTTGCGTGCAAGAAGCCTTCGGCCCTTGCCCTGGCGGACCACTCGAGACCCAACATCTTTCGAAAAGACAGATATTCTATTGGTAGCGTTGCCCCTGTGGTGGAACCTTTTGCAAGAGCCGAAATTGGCATTTCCATTCAATTGGACATTGTTGATATATCCAAGTCAATGATGCTATCGCGGGGTGAGATGAGACGTAAGGCTATACACAATAACATGTGGGTAATGCTGAAACGTTTGACGTGGAAAGAGAGACGCGGCTTCTCTAATGGCTCAGGATCTCCAGACAGTCTCTTCGCTGAATGGGAGGAGACCCGGAAAAAAGAACGGATTATCGCCAGGAAAGCCGCGGTAGTAGCAACGTCAAGATTTGCCACCTCTAGCGTCTGTACGAAACTACCAAAACCAAAATGCGGGCTTTCAGTTGGACACAGCCAATGGCAATGCCAATGTTGCCATCACCAACGTCACAACGTTTTCTGTTCAAGCAAGCCCCAGACTCTGTAGGAGACTCCAAGATAACACTGTTGGCACCATTGAACCCAAGGAATGCCGAACATTGCCTTAGGATTTAGAACTGATAACAATAGTTCATGATACCGAACTTCATCGAGATCCAGGAGTCAGTGGCCAGGAGCCAATGGATCCAGGGATATTCAAAATAATCCAAAGACTTCAACAAGGTTTGGATGGCACCTCTGAATATTCCTACGAAGTAGGAGAGCTTCAACATAAGTGAAGGATTGTGATCGGGCATTGGTCACCATCGTAATTGGATATTTTTAAGGAACTTCATACTTCTCCTAGTGCAGGTCACACGGGGTATTTGAAGACAGACACAAGGATATCTTGATCCTATTCTTGGAACAAAATGAAGCATGAAATTAGAAAGTTTGTTGAAGAATGTGGTGTTTGCCAAAGGAACAATGATGGAATGGACGCCAATCATGGGTTACTACAACCACTCCCAATACCCGAGCCGACCTTGGGCAGACATTTATATGGACTTCGTAGAAGGATTGCGAAGTTCTCGTGGCAAGATCGTCATCGTGTTATTGGTCAATTACTTTTGTTCGTTGTCACACTTGTAAACGGTTTCCATTATTGCTCAATTTTTTGTGGATCAGATTTTAAGTTGCATGGCATGCCAAAATCTATTATTTGTTAAAGAGATGCTATTTGTAGAAGTGGCTTTTGGCAGCAGTTCTTTCGATTGCTAGGCACCCAAATTAAGATGATTACCTCTTACCATCCACAAACTAAGGGACAAACAGAAGTAGTAAACTGCTGTCTAGAGACATATTTAAGGTTTCAAAAATTGTTAGGCGGCCCCAAGGCGGCCTACCCAGCACCCAGCGCCTAGGCGGCGCCCAGTACCTCGGGCGCCCTTTAGTTTTTTTCACTTTGGGGGTCAAAAATAAACCCCAGAACGTTTTTATACAACCTTGGAGGTCAAAAGGACCCGCTTTGCCCTTTTGGGCGATTTAAAAAAACAAAAAAAGTTTTACAGCCCTAGGCGCCCGCCTAGGTACATCCGCCCGTGTAGGGCCGCCTGGGTCTAGGAGTGCGGATTTTTGGTTTAGGCCGCCTAGGCGCCATGCAGACCGTTTTTTAAAACATTGGACATATTTACATTTTTTGCTAGCGAGAGACGAAAATACTTGGTAAGATGGTTATCATTGGCAAAATGGTTGTATATTACCATGTTCCACTTTGTAGCAGAGATGACACAATTTGAAGTGGTGTATGGCGACTACCTTCATCATTTGCTGATTCTCCCTAGTTCTACCAAGGTTGATCAAGTTGATGAAGAGATATGGAATCATTATTAGATTTAAAGGTTTTGAAGGAAAATCTTCATGTTGATCAGGATCATATGATGCAACAAGCGGACTGCTAAAGGTCGGAAACAGAGTTTCTGGTGGACTGTTTTTCTATTCGCAGCTTGACCAAGTTTTATGAATTTTACAGGATCACTTAGAAAATAGGTCTGGCAGCTTACAAGTTAGAACTACAAGAGGGACAAGGATTCGTTCTGTTTTTTGTGTTCTTGTCTCTAGAGAAATATTGGACCACATCATACAGTTTGAAGCATGCTTCTTGCTCTAACTAAAGATGGCATTGTGATGATCAAACCACACACTATCTTGGCTAGAAGAATGGTTAAGCACAATAATCAGGTAGTCATGAAAGTGCTGGTCAAGTGGGCTCATATGGCCCACAAGGATGCAACTTGGAAGCACCTCTGCATGCTGCAGCAGCAATTTCCTTACTTGCTAGTTGGTACCTTGAGGACATTGTTGTTTTAAAGGGGGGTGGGATGTTAGAATTCTTAGGGTTACAAGGGGAATGGATAAGTACAGGATTTGCATATGATTTTTATTTTTATAGTTGTAGAGAGAATTTATGTTAGCGTGTAGAAAGAGATTATGATAAGGCCTAGGGTTATTTACTTTATATTGTTGTTATAGGTTTTGTTATTTTGGATTGGTACATGGTTGTCAAGATGAATGGGTGAATAATAAAATTATCTTTTGTGGTTTGCATGTTATGGAGGCCGCCTCCCTTGAAGTGGGCTATGTTTAGGAGGCTCCCTCCTTGAAGTGGTATTTTTTTTTCTCTTCATTTTATTAAACATCAAAGTCACGATTTCTCTTATTAAGAATCAAGGATCCTTAACATATCAATGGAAGTTCTACTTAACGGTAAAGAATTTTTTTGGGGCTCTAAAATGTGAGTATGCTGTGAGGATCCACATAATGATGCCTTGACTGTCAGGATCGTGTGTAATTTGTGGTCATCTGATTCTCATAAAATCAGATTGCGAGGGCTAAAAGTTAAATTAACTAATTAAACTGCCAACAACGTAAAATCAACCAATAAATGGAATCCTTAGCAAAAAGGTTTGTCCTCAACGATGACCTTTACTTACTTTGAGATCACAGGATACAAAACCTAGTTTCAAAGAAGTAAATTTCTGTTGCAGTTTCGATTGTTATAATTTGAGGATTCCTCTAGCTTTGTGAGGTGAGATTGTCATGGCTCACCCTTGTTCAAGATGATACGAGGGATTTTGGGGTTGAAGGGGCTCTCTACCATCTTGCTTTAGTGCTTCACTGTGTTTGGTGTCGGCACTAGATGTCCCTTGAGAGCTTTCTTCTGTGATGTGTAGACACTTGTATATGCTTAACATGCTGTTGTCATACTATGTTGATGCCAATGCTAATACTGGATACTTGTACATATAAGATGACAAGACTATAAAAAACTGTAATCTGAAGGGGTAGACTCAATATACTTGTTCTTATCTGGGCATCTGCATCCTTATCTAGGCATCTTATGCTTTCTTCTTTTGACTAGTTCTTAAGGATAAAATACTTGTCCGTAATAATCTAGAGGGGAAGAGACTTAATATATGTCCTTGATTTTCACGTTTTAAGGAGTTGTATGGTAATTTAAGGGTAACCTCAGCCCTATGGCCTGGTTAGGAGGACTGGGCCCAACTCATAGCAGGATGAATAAGAGAGAGAAGCAGTTAATCTGCCTACAATTTTATGGATGATAGGGAATTACAAGAAAATGAGAAGTTCTAGAGGGAATGGGTACTGAGGCAAGGTGATAGTGATAAGATAGAAATGGTTGAGTGGCTAATGAGGACATGCTGATGTGCCAAACTTGAGTTTCAGATGAGCCTCTTGAGTGGAGGTTACGTGAATCAGCTTGGGACCCTGGTGATTTGGTTTTAGCCGAGCCATAGATGTGAAGAGCTTGTTTGCGGGGTGACACTCCCACCTCGGAATCTTGCTCCTGTGTTCCGGGAGTCAGAGCCCTATTGGAGCTTGCTGCCGTCCATCAAGGTATTTCAATCCCTTTCTTATAAGGATCTTGATCCCTAGATAGAAGGGATCTCATTCCCTTACTAAAACTGATATCAACTCTGTGGGATGGGATCATGATTCCTTTGAAAATGGGGGTGCGTTCTTGGTTTGAAGGGATCTTGATCCCAATGAGGGGTTCAAAATTTTTTACCGACATCTTTGATTTTGTGCTATTTTTACTTATTGGCAGTTTTTTAGCCAATGACTACATGTTGACGATTTCTTTTTCCTTTTTCATAGTTGTGGCTATCATCATTTGTTGAAAAGCGGCGAACTAACTTCGACTTGCCTCAAACCCGAAGGTATCCTTTGTCCCTAATGGTCCGGGGAATTGCCCTGGTTGTCCAGAACCGGGTAGTTCGCTGTAGTGAATTGCCTAATTCACTGTTGGAACTCAAGCAATTCTTGAGTTTGATTCTTACGAGACCTTACAATTTCATTTTTCTCAAATTTTATGAGACTTCCAGGTTGTATGGTTCTCACTCTGCATATACATAGATGAGGATGTAGATTCTACATTGCTGTAGCCACATTTATTGAAGTAGGATATAGCCATCTGCACCATCTATGTATTTGGATTGTGCAGATTTTGTACTTTGTCCAACAAGGAAAACTGGGGCTTTTTGTGCCCTAGTTCCCACTCTCTCAGAAGCCTCTTGCCTCCTGATTTCCTTTGGTGTTTCATTGATCTTTTTCCATGAGAAAAGCTCCAAACAGAGGCTCCCAACATGTTCCCTTTCTCTTTCCTCTCTCTCTTTTCTTATCATTGCTCTTTCCTAATTTTTCAGCAACTTCACTTTTTTTTGAGAGAAAAGCTATCATGTATCTGAAAAATACAATAGTACAGAGCATGTTCTCACCCAAACAAAATAATAAAAATACAAAACCATTCATCATTGTCATGAAACCTAACATCTATACACTATCCTGTAAGTCATTCCATTTCCCAATTTTTTGAAAAGCATTTGCTATTGCCATGAAACTTTAGCCCCTGCATTTTCTTTTCTACAAAGTTGATCTCCCCTTTGAACCCTGAAACCTAGAAATTTGCTGTCGATCTCATCAAACCCTAAAAATCCATGCGAATCAACTGCAGAATGAGGATTACCATCCAGGATGGGCATCTACTAGTGGGATTGAATGAAATGAATCCCGTCATCTATCTCAAAACTCGTGCAAATCAACCACCTACTGAGACATATAACAAGAGAAATTTCCTCGAAGGAACCTGGGATGTGCAACCATCAAAATTTCCTCTTTTATTTGTGTAGAGAGAGAGATCCCTGAAAAGTTTAAAGAAGAGGTGTAGGTAACCAGGGCTTTAGGTCCCCAGGTTCTCTTATAAAAGATCCTCATGGCCCAAATTAATAGACGGTGAGGAGGGCTGCAGCCCCTACTTATTCTAATTGGGCTGCAGCCCTATGAAAACATTTTCCTATAGATAATGCTAAAAAAGTGTAGTATGCATTCTTCAATTTTTAAATATCATTTTAAGAAATGAAATAAAATAGAATATCTAATATCTATACACACCACAGGCATACATATAAAAAAAAGGGTTGTAACCCGGTGCTGATCCCCACCTAAGCAGGGTCCAGGGAGGGGTGGGCTGGAAACGGTCGTAACCTTTGACTTATGCACACAGTGGCCACTCTCAGAACTCGAACCGGTACTCTTGCGCTGGCTACCCGAGCTGTTGACCGTCACACCAAGTGATGGCCCCTTAAACAAATAATGTACACACATACACTCCCAAGTATCATGTGTATGTATAAGGGCGCTCCCTGAATGCTCCCATATACATATAGCATATATATCAGGCCACTCACTAAACAATACTCTATGTGCTCCCATGATAGGGAGCTTCAGCCATGTGTCACTCCCTATAACTATGAGGACCTTGTACTCCTAGTGGGTCTTCCCGTCTGATCCATGCATGCGTGTATGTGTGTGTGTGCAAGAACTAGTGTATCATATCATGATTTGTAGTTTACAATGCTAGAAAGCTACTTTTGGGTGGGAGACAGAAAAAAAGAATACTCATATTCAAGTACTTGATTTTATTTACTCATGCACCACGGCTTTTTTCCAATGAGGTCTTAGGCTAGAATCATTTTCCTTCTTTCTTTGATGACCAGGCTCTGGGCCAATTTCACGTTATGCATAAGCCACAAAAAGGATATTAGGTTAAAAAGCGATGGTTGAGCTTGGGAATGATTTGAGAAACCTCTCATGGGCTTGAGCCTTCATTAATGTAACATAGGCTTGTTCAATAATTAATGATGAAAGAAAAGAAAAACTGAACCTTTTGCTGGTATATACTTTCTAAGTTTTAGATTTGCAATCAAGTTCGAATTGATCCTTGAATTGTGCGTTGGTTTTTGCTGATATTCTTTCTTTTGTGGTATTTCCTTTACGTCTGCAATTTTTTTCTTTTCCACTTACCAATGAATACTGTTTTCCAAACTCATTTACTTTCTTTTTCAAATATTATTGCTCAGAAGCTGATTTCTTGAATTTTATCTTTCTTATGCCCAGGAACTACGAAGGAGACGTTTACAGATAAAGGCGTCTGCTGCCAAGTCTAGAACTCTAAAAAATTTGAAAGGTTATGTGCACTAAATGCTAATTATGTTTCAAGTACTTCTTTCGTGTGTGGATAATAATTGACATGAGTATATGTGATTGCAGGAGCCAGTAAACACAAATTTATCTCACAAGAGAGTCAAACTAGATCTGCAGGTGCCCTTGCCGAGACTTTGAGTGCCTCTACAGTAGAGGGTACCTGTATAAAGGAACAAGTAAGCACATGGTTCTTAATTGGATTAAGTGATGACCCCTTATTTTTTTATAAATGTGCTGGTGTTTTTGTGATTTGTCAGTAATAAGATTAATTCATGAATGCATTGTGAGTGATGAAATGTTGTGCTTAACCCATAGTCTCTAAACTAATCTTTCTGTGACCTGTTAAGAATTTAAATGTTAGCTTGAGTGGCAAATTATCAGTAGAATTGTAATGCTTCTAAAAAGGAAAGGCTGAGAAAATTGGTGAGATAGTTTGAGGACTAGGCTTAGGCTGGGCCTTGTTCTTAGTTGGGCTGAAGTTGAATTGCTAAGTACCAAAACTGCTCAGCAATTCCGTACCAAGTCTTTGAAGTTTTCTTTAAGAACAAAAAATTTTCAAATTTAAAAATAGGAAAAGATATGTAGAAAGGGAAAAACTTGTTGGCTTATTCTCTTTCCTAATCATCGAATACAAAAAACCTTTATTTATTTATAATATTGACCTGTTGAAATCAAAGGTATATATGAGGTTGAATCAGTCCAGACAGATGTAATGTTACACTAGACAGGGGAGAAGATGGGTGACCAATTACGTAAGCAGAAAAGTTGCTGGAGTACTTAATGGTGTGGCATGACTAACTTAGAACATTCCATAATCTATATACCTAAGCTGTGAAGTCGGTGTACTTCAAATATGGGAGGTCCTAGGAGTATAAGCGTAACACCCGCAATATATTGTCTTCTCCATCTTATTTGTGTTCCATTTGATTTGTATTTTCTCTGCCCTATTCCAACAATGTAATCAATTAAATAGAAGTGTTCCAATATAAAATAAAAAGGGTGTCTACAAGTACCCCAGAACTGTAATTCCCAGAATCTAATAAAAAGCCCCTTCACTGGGATGAGTTTCGTTTTGTTCAAATGTGTTTCCGTCTTTGCAAAAGTTGATGTGCGTATTTTTGAGCAAACACTTATTATGATTATGATTATTACTATTATTACTATTATTACTTCTACTATTATTATTATTATTATTATTATTATTATTATTATTATTATTATTATTATTATTATTATTATTATTATTATTATTGGTGCTGCTGCTGCTGCTGCTACTACTCTTTCTACTACTGCTGCTGCTGTTACTGCTACTGCTAGTGCCGCTGCTGCTGGTGGGTAAGTATTAAGGTAGTTATGCCATCTTGTATGTCACAAAATATTTTTCAGAAAAATGAAGATGTTGTGCATGCTATTCGTATAAACAAAGGTAGTTGAGGGATCCCCAGAACATGTATATGCATGTAACTTCATTGACGGGAATTCTTCTTCTTTGCATGAGGAGCAAACACCATCTTTGACATTGACAAAGCGCCAGAAGCTACACTGGGGGTATCAACTTTTTCTTTGATCCACTTGCTTTATTCATCAATTTCCGAATGCCTTCGGTTTTCTAGTTGAACTTTGGCTGATGCTCTCTCTCTCTCTCTCTCTCTCTCTCATATTGTCTGCTTAATTGATACTGTGTATATTCTGTACTAATATGCTTATAAAAATTTCTTTTCAGGCTCGACACGAAGGAGAGATGGGAGAGGAAAGCCAACATGTAAAATCTCTGTTGATGGAAGTTTCCAATCTCCACTAAAATCAAGGGTGAACTCTGTCTATGTTATTGAATAGGCTTTTCAGAAGCATGACTTCTGAAAGAATTTGGATCCTTCTTCACAAGATGGGCAGATATTGTAAATAATGTATATGCTATATAAAGCTCACATGCCCTTCAAAGGTGGTCAAGATTCCAGTTTGTGCTTATGGATGAGAGTTATGGATTGTCGGATGTGTAGGGGTGGTTCGATGTCAAATGATCACTTGGAGAATATTTTATTGAAATTTGGCAATTTTGGCTGGAGTGTGACAACTTACTGGTTGTTTCAGTGTATGGGAGAGTTTTCTGTGACAAAGATGAGGTGCCAATTTATTTGCATTGGCCCAAGCTGTATGCTGAACTGGTATAAAAGATACTGGGGAAAAAGGCTCGGCTTGCGGTTGGTATTGAACCACATCTGAGCTTGAATTTGGCCTGACTTGTGGTGCATCTTTTTACCATTTTTAATTGGTTTCTTAGAATTCAAGTGAATTTGGTTAGACCAAGCAAATAAAAAAACAAGGATAATGAGGTATATTTGGTCCAGAACTTGCTGGTGTTGTGTACTTGGATGATGATATCCATCTTTTATTGATGTTGCCACCTCTGGTGAATTGATTCTTATGTAAAATTTGCTCTTTTTTTAAACAGTTATCTGTTTATTTGTAAATCAGAAATACTGAACAGATTACTTATTGTCGAACTAACATTACAATGAAAGTGGAAATTGCAATTTTGAGAACTTCACAGGAAAATATCATTAAATGGCCTATGTACCTCAAAGAATCATTGAGATAACTAAATTAACGAAATTTTCTTCATGATTTGGAATCTTGAATTCGAATGAGTATTTTGGTGACTTAGCCTTAAGTGGCCCAAGCCAATGACCTACATACCTTGTTGTATTGGGCTTTTAACCCAAAATTGGTGTGTTGGTATAATTTTTTAGATAAAAAAAAAGATGGAATTCGAAATGAATATATTTGGGAGAATTTAAGTGTTGTTCCAATGAACAATAAGACGAGAGAAAATAGATTTACGTGAGCTGAGCATGTGCAGTGCAAGCTTAGTACATTTGTTAAGAGGTACGAGTTGGTTCGATTAAAAGGCTCTAAGAGATAGATAGAAGTTGGTTCGATTAAAAGGCTCAAAAGGGACAAAGGGAATGCGTTAAAAGATATAATTGGAAGTAGTGTCAATACATATGGGAATTTTTGATGTCATTGAGGGAATGACCCTTGATAGAGCAGAGTAGCAGATTAGGATTTACGCAGCCAACTCTAAGTAGTTAGAATTTATGCAGCCACCTCTAAATAGTTAGAAAAAAGCTCTCATGATGATGATTAAAATTCCTTATTAACGTTGAATGAAAAAGAGTATTTATGTTATTTGACTTGATTTAAATAGTTTATGTAGAGGTATTTTTGTTATTCGACTACTTTAGGCAAATGATGAGACTGCTGGCACTTGTTATTTTTGTTATGTAACCCCCCAAAATATGTGTTTTTCAAGGGGTTTAAACTTTCCAAGTCCATGCCAAAGTAACACCACTAACCTACTTTTGTCGGTTATCAACTTTATTAAATTAAGAGAGATTCCTCACGATTCTTAAAACATTGCCAGTTCACAACGTTGAATAATGATTACAAATACCCCATGAAAAGTGGGGACTGGTGTAAGCATGTTTGAATAGGTGCATGGCACAGCTATATATACCAATCAACGACATTTTTTTTTTAAAATGGAGATAGTGTATTACGATACTATTTAATTTTCGTATAATGAGGTCACAATTGGTATTAGTTATTAGATATCAAATTAGATGGTTTGGGTATGCCACAAAGTTTGATTTTTTTATTTTTTATTTTAACTTGGAGTTTAGTTAATGATACACTCACAACCATCTGATTTGAAAGATGATGAACAAAAATGATTGTAACCTCATTCTATTAAAAATAAAAGGTCTCTTTGTATGCTTTCGCTTTTAAATATTTATTAAATGAATGAAGGTGGGCGGGCAGGTGGATTCAACATCGTCTTGGAAAGGTTGATTGATTAATAACTTTTGGTGTAGATTTTTTTAACATGTATTAGAATTATGAACACTAAGGACATGTTTGTTCTATGGAAGACGGGGCTGCTAAAAACCCAACTTGCAAATCACTTTGGAGGCCACCGCTTTCATGGGTCAGCATAGAAGTAATGGATTCCATGAAACGACATCAAAATTGATGTTGTTTCGAAAGCTAATGTTTGCACTTCCCAATAACGAACATAGGAAGTGCTTTGTGGAAGCCGTAGCTTCCACTAGACAAACGCGCCCTAAATGTGCTCTCTCACCATTCAAAAGGAAAAAGGTGCTCTCTCTCTCTCTCTCTCCATTAATAACATTATCAATGGACAAATGTCAATCCATCATAACAAACTACAATAGCATCCAAAGATCACAAAAAGAATTCATAAAATCTTTTTGCAATTCTCTCGCTAGTTGTGATGAAATGGATTGGCACAAAATGCAGCAACTGTTTGTAATGGGGAACCGTCCTCAAGCTTTGTCCTCAATACAAAGTGCACAACAGCAATGTGCACTTGGCCCTATCCTTAGGTAGTGTATATATTGGTGGGAAAGGCACCACAAAGGGGACATAATGCCCAGCCTCTAATGCTCATGCGCACTACAACTACACCTACACCTACACCTACACCTACACCTACACCTAGCCCTTATTAGTCTTAGGGCTGTCTACCCTACGAATAAAATGTTCATCACTAATATCTTTTTTTTTTTCTGGTAGTTCAGTGGTAGGAATCAAAATTGAGATGTAGCATTGCTAATATCAATTGCTAACTGCTTAAATCCAAGCTCGATTCCTATTATCCTTTTTCCTTTTTAATTGAATTCTAACTCCAAGGTCCATGATATTATCAGTTATCCGAAAATCCAAGCTCAATTCCTATTATCCTTTTTCCTTTTTAATTGAATTCTAACTCCAAGGTCCATGATATTATCAGTTATGCGAAGATGACAGAATAAATACACCCTGAATTTTTTAAAAATAGAAAATCTCATCCACCCTTTTCTTGTTAAATACACCCCGAATTTTTTTAAAATAGAAAATCTCATCCACCCTTTTCTTGTTTCTAAATTTTTAAAAACTTGATGAATTATCACAGAGGGTGTATGTTGGAAAAAATTTCATTGTCTTCCAAGTTAACAGATTATGCTTATCCGGGTCATCCATTGATGATTGTTTGTGAGCTCGATGGCTAGGATTTTGGTATAATTATATATTTATGTATGTGAAAAGTTTATATAGAGCGAAGGCTCTAAACCATCTAATTAGAGCATATCTAAATTTTTTTATTAAAAGCGGTTGTCTTTATTCTCAAGTATCCTCAAATTGGTCATCTCGACATCAATATGCATAGACATGAGAAAAAAATAGATTTCAAGTTTTGGAAATAGTGTATTTTGTAATGTATTTTTGGACCGTCAATTTTCAAGATTTTCAAGTTTTCATATAACTGTTGATCTAGGATCTACACTATTTTTTCAGCTTTAAACTTTTTATATAAAGTAGAAAATATATTTTAACACTATCACAAAGATTTTCAATATTAAAACCATATTTCTAGATACTATTTGAAGGTAGGCTCTAATTTGATTGTTTAGAGCCTAGGCCCTATACAAACCGCACCCCTTATGTATTTCATACTGCAATGTTTCTTATTTTAATTTTTTGAGTGTGTGGATCAGTTGTGAGTTATGACTAAAAGCTATTTTGCAAATAAGTTATTAGTCTATCAATTTATCACCATCATAACGATTTTCGATATTGAAACGACATATTTTGACACCATTTGAAGGTGCGCTTTACTTTGATTGTTTAGAGCGCAACCTTATAAAAACCACACCCTTTATTTAATTATGTTCATGTAAACTTTTACGAGGGACTTTTAACACCAATGAAACTTTACTCTCCACTATAGGGGATATGTAATTTCCTTTAATAATATATGCGCCTTTGCCTCCTTTTCTTCACATTCTTAACTTAGCTCCACTGCTAATATTTTGGCAATCTCAAAAGGCATGCTCCAATATTTTGCTCTATTTGCTAAAATGGCCTGTACTCATTATTGTCTTTTATCTAGTGATAGTTTTTTAATAGGAAACTTTATTAAAAAGCATCCAAGAGATGAACTATTTGACATCTCAAATATTTCTTTTGATTCAATTTCAGAAATCCTATCAAATGATATACAATTGTGAGTTAGAATAGTTGATAGGTTTTTTTATTTATTTTTTAATTAATGGGTGAATTTGTTAATTAGTTCATATTTTAGGTGTGGTTTGATAAATTTCCCTTTTAATTTTAAAAAAGTATTTAGCCGTAGTTTTTAGGGATTTATGACCCTTAACACATCTCAAGTTACTTAAGATTATTTCATGCCTCAAATCTATGAATGGAACTGGGATTTCAATCTCTTAAAAACCTAGATCGCCCTATGGAAATTGAACCGTTCTTGTTCAATCTAGGGACATTAATTTTTTTGAGGCATATAGAGAGTAGTATTTAGTTATGGAAAAAGTTTATACATTCTTGTAACCTTAGAAATGTAGAATTAAAGATGCACCTCAAAAATCCATCAGAAAATGGTATTTTAATGTTAAAAAATCCTCTAATTGATCATCTCGATGTCAAGATCTATGAATATGGAAAAAAATAAAAAAAATTTTGAGTCCCAGAAGTAGTGAGTCTTGCAACACATTATCTAGACCGTCCATTATCACGATTTTCATATTTTTATAGATACTTGATTTTAACCATTTTTGGAGTTTCAAATTTTATAATTAAAGATGAAAATAGATTTTCAAATAATCCTAATAATTTTTTAGACCAAAATTTCATATTATGACAAATTTTGGAGGTGCACACGTTAATTGGATTGTTTAAGGTTGTAACGTTATAGAAACCACAACCTTTTGTTATTTATTTTTTGGGATTATATACTATGCGACCATTTATTTTTTATACAAGGAGGTCAATCACTTTTAGCCATTAGATGTGAAATCCAATAGATGAAATTGTGCCACAACATTTGAGAAATTTTATTTTAGACTTTGTGTCCAAACAATTATGCATCCTCAACCACCCGATTTTAAATCTAACTCTAATAATGATTATAACCTTATTGTATCAAAAATAAATTTTCTTGTTGTATATATTTCCAATTAAGCGCAGGCTCTTTTCTTACTTTGAGGTTACTTATTAGGTTCTAGAGGCTACACCCCACAACACTTGGGTTTCGAAAAATATTACTAATATGAGTTTTATCCGAAGGGGGAAAAATGCACCTGCCGGAGCAGTATATCTCTTCACAGTTTGAATTATTCATCCACAACTCCATACTATTGTGAGGATCACCCTAAAATGTCTCATAGTAACGTGCAAATAAATAGTCTCCCCGCAGATGGACGGTGGAGATTAAACCAGGAAATGAGCACAATTTAGCTAGTCTACCTCATTGATGGGGCTGTCTCAATCTGGTATAACATCCTCACCATCCATTCACAATAAAGGGCAGATGTGAAACGGGAGGTCATGATATGAAACATTAGCAACATGGAAAAACTAAAAATGGAAAAGAAAGACGGAAAGAATGGGGGAGAGGTGGAGTAGAGAAGCACAACCCTTCAATGCTATCATGCTAAACCTAGTTTTACAAAAGCAACTC